CAAAAATATGTCATCGTGTTGTACTAGGTTTTATTTAGTGTAGCCTCATTTTATTTGGAATGTAAAGGACCCCTGCATATTTTAAGCTTTAAAGACAACGTTTTTTTCACCAAAAATCTTTTAATTTCAACCTGCGATCTTAAGATGGTTTTTATTCAAGTGTGCTGCCATAGCCATGGATTTCATTATGCGCATTTTCTACAACTTTTTGGAGCAAGACGCGTTAGCATTGCATACTTTTAGGCGCTGATGCCGTGCCCCTCCTGCCGCGCTGTGTTTTGTGTCGAGCTTTTGCGCAGACACTGAAATGCAATTTGCATAAGTTTCACAGCTTCTTTCGTTTATATAGGGCGAGCGGGCTGGGACCGGCGACTTTTCTATATAAATATAAATACTATGTGCATAACCCAAGTGCGCCGAACGACGTGCCGTAGTCGCCGTTGTCTGTATGTGTGTATGTGTATGTGTATGTGTATGTGTCTGTGCCATCTATCCACATTCAGTCCTTGCATCTGTGTGCTCGCCTTGGTGCGTGCTAAGTATGTGTTGCCTAGCTGTTGGCAATTTTCATAGGAGAAAAAAGTATAAAAAGGACGGTTGTGCAGCCAAATGAAATTTGTGTTTGTTTTCTACTTTAGCCAGCATAAAAAGTGAAATGACACTGGGTAACGCAGGAAAAACGTTACCGTAGCATATAGGAACCAACGGAAATCAGCAGGAAATTCTCATTCCCTTGTTAAGATGTTTGCCTTGGTGCTTCCCTTGTGCATATGTGTGAAATGTCGTTAATGTAGGTAAAGGTTACACGCTTGAATATCAGCTTTTATTGATATCAGACAAAGGACAACGCTGGAGAGGTCTTGATTCGATTGGCACAACAACTACATAATAAAAAGCTAATTTTAAATCGCTCAAACTTAACCTTATGCTGCTAAATATTAAATGAATAATAAACCTCATATGAATATGGCATTTCATTCTGTTTCAGAACTCATCACTTAATTCAGTTGTCTTTTCTACATAATGCTAAATAAAAAGGTTATCAGTATTAAAGCTATATTCGTCTTGATGTTCCGATTGCCTCAAGGCATAAATGGTCTTGTTAACTTGAATGCATTATTTTTGCGGTTTAATCCTTAATTAATATAGTTTTAAAACTGTCAGCTAGTTAAGATATTTTTGTAAGTGACTTGTCCGTTATAAATAAATTTATTATTGTCAAGAACCACTTGCCTAAGCAAATTAATTTCGATTGATAAACAAAGAAAATGCTGAAATCAATTTCCCAAAAATAGTTTTGCCTTCGATTTGCACTAATAATCCGAAATTGACCCATTTTGCCGCATGCACGACCTCGCACACATACTTACCCCACGGCATACACGCGCGAGTGAGTGGAGTGACATTTGTCTATCCGAGCTGAACCGTTGCCGCTTGTGGCAGCCCAATCCGGTGACCTCAGAGCCCCAGAAGCAGCTTGCCACCAAAGCCGCAGCACGCGCCACTTTGTCCAAAATCCAGGCAGTTGGTTTTGCCTGCCTGATTCCGTGGTCTCTGGCCGGGAATGGGATTGGGATTGGGAGGAACTGCTCCGGCCATTCCATCCTCGATTCCCATGTGGGCCCCACGGGCAAATCACTCATTACACACTTCCGCTTGCGCGACGCTCACGACGACGATGACGCTGACGAGCGGCAGGCTGATGATGGTGATGGTGATGGAGCTGGAAAAGGAAAGGGAAGAAAAAGGACGAAGGACGAAGAACTCGCAGACGAATGGCGGAGGCGGCGACGGAGGCGCATATCACAAATTATGTCAATTTGCTGCAACAGCCCGCCAGCCTTTGGGACCTCGAGACAGCGGCAGAAACAGGACTAGCACACTGTGAATAAAATCGTGTACAAAATAAAGGACTTTGTTCTGCAAAACGGCTTAATCGAAGTATAATGAAAATGAGAAAGAAAAAGTATTAAATACAATTGAATTAAATTTATAAAAGAAAAACTTTATTTTACCGATGTGTTTCAAGCATATTCTTTGTAAACATGTTTGTTGTTTTGAAAGTAGACTTACTACTTAAGTAAATTATGTTTCATAAATAAAATTTTATTATATATATATTAAAGTAAATTAAATCTAGTGTACATTACAAGTGCTTAAAAGTGCTGGCTCTACGGTCCTCGACTTAGTTTTATTATAAATTTAATTCTTAACGAAATTAAAGATTTAAAAGCGAATTATATGAATTAAGGATTATCGCCTTAACAAATAAGAGCTGTGGATTATTAAGTTTAATGAAAGACGGTGTATTCAAATCGTTCAATAAAAACTTGTTGATTCTAAAAAAAACTAGTCGTGAATAACCAAAAAATTAGAAATGAAAATATAGTTTTTGAAAAACACTGAATAAACGAAATCTTCAAAATAAAAATATTAAGATATTGCGATCAATGAAAATGGAAATGGTAAAGAAAAAGGAAAAGGATTTTCTCAGTGCAGGAGCTTTAGCCAACTGATATAGATGGGCCTAACTCAGTCTGCTCGTCGAGCATTTGACATCTTACATGGGAATTACAAACGCACGAAAATTGCTACCATGTTCGGCGACAGCCCCCTCACCAATACAGCTGTAGCTGTACCCCAACACATATTCATATACACATATATAGTACACGATGTATATCTGTCTGCTTGTCCGATTGTCAGTTTTCCAGCGTGGGCGAGTCTTTTTCGGTGGGTGGTTCTGGGTCGGCGTTTTCATGTGCAAATTTCTGTAGTGTGCCATAAATTATCCGACTGGGAATTGCTTTTCTATAAAACGTGCGCATATTAAATAAATGTCAACAATTTTTGGCATCGTCTGCAAGCTGAGCAATGGCTCTGCCGCACTTCCACCTTTTGGGGCCCCCGTGTTTTTATTCCTTTCACTCGTTTGGTGGCTGCCGAAATTAAATTACGCGTAACACGATTGTGCGGCTCCCTTTTGGGTATTAATGAGCATCAGGCTGTAAAATAGGTTCATGATGGATGTGTTCGAGTTTCTGGGTTTTGACAGCTGGACAGGTGAGCAATTGAATTTTCAATTTCAAGCAACAAAATCGATTCGTATGAGTTTGTCGAACGTCAATCGTTGGCAAACATGTCCTTTTCTTTGATTTGCGTGGGGAATTCGATTGATATTTAAATTCTTGGGGTAAGTGGACTATTTTAATGGGCACAAACGAGCATACAAGATTCCTCCTTTTTTTTAAAGAAATTAAGAAGCACATATTCCCTTTTTTATAGCTTTGGCATTGCTTACACTTGTACTGCGCTTTTTAAAATAATTTTATGATATTGATACACGAACTTAATACATATCATCTAAGCTTTTTTCTTTTTTATATACAAATCAAAACAAAGGAGAACTGCTTTCCTTCAACAAGATGCAATGACTATAGTTTGTATAAGCTTTAAGTTACAAAAACCTATTCCCAGTATTTCGTCCATGTGCTCTGTTTTAGTTTACTCTATACTATCGTCACAACTTGATCCCATCTTTATCAATTTCCCCTACTCATTGACAACTCTTTGATGGCTATTAATGTTTTATTCATCCAGCTGATTGATGGGCATGCATTTACAGTTCATGTTTCTCTTATTAATTTACGACTTGTGACGACACAAAAAACTAAGCAGCCAAGTCCCGCCCCTTCGACCGCTTTGATCCTGCTCACGCCAAAGGACAATTAGGGACTTTAACTTGGGTGTGACAGTGGGGAAATTGGGAATCAGCCGGCCAACTTTAATCCATTGTCATTTTGCCGGATTGGATGGGAGATGGGGGAAATCGGAGCACTAGATTGGATAGGGATTGGGAATGAGTTTTAGCCATCCGGAAGCGACGACGATGCCCTTAGCATTTATCTATTTTCAGCGACATCAATTGGCAGTTTAAATGCAAAAGATGAGGCCGCCGTGAAATCACAGACCGGCTATCGTCATCACCATTGTCGACGTCATCGTCGTCGTTGTCGTTGTCGTTGGCTTCAATTTGGCATTAATATTCCCACTCACGTACTTGGTTGTGATTATGCGAGTACAACGATGAACGTCAGCGGCTATTGCGGTTGAAAGGAGGTGGTGGGTGGTTGAAGGGATCTGGGTGGTTCGAAGGTTCCATGGTCGGGTGGTCCAATGGTTGAGGTTGTCGTGCGGTTGCCGCCTTGCGTGCTCCGCGTTTGTGGGACGGCAGTCTCAACGTGACACTTAAAAGGCAGCGTTTTGTTGACATTTGCTAGGAAATCGACGAAGGAGTCGAGTCGAGTCGAGTCGAATCGAGTCCGTAAGTAATTGTGGCAACACCCCAAAAGCTCAGCCCGGGCACAGAGCAAAAAGGACATTTTCATATTGTGTTAATGACTTTGGCAATAGTTTTGTCATGACATTTCAAAAGTGCCACTCCACCTGTCGTTTCATTCAATTGCATTGGGTGGAAACGGTAATGATACACTACGGGAAAAATAAGTCATACTTTTATTAATCATTTTTTTAGTTCTGACCTAAACTGTTAGTTCATTTGTTTGTCAGTTCAAGTTAATTACCTATTAAGTCATTAAAGCAAACTAACAACTTGTTTTACACTAATATTTAAACTCAATCAAAGAATAATTAATTTTATAAAATGGAGTTAGTTAAGAAATAATAATCTTAGATATTTATTCATTTATGAGCTGTAATTCTCTTGAATTACGTTTTTTTTTATCTAACTGATTACTCAGAAAAACAAAAAGGGATGTCTTTTAGGAAATTGAATTGTATTACAAATTAATAACTTAATCACGTGTTATTATAATTAATATGTCACTTTCTCTTGGAATGAAATCAAACTCATTCTGGTGTATTTTCATCCAAGTTAATAGCACTACCACTAAGACTCTGCCATTATTTCTTTCCAGACCACACATATATGATTATTTTACCGCAGTGCACTCATAATTGTGTTTCCCTCCCCCTTTCAGTTTCCACAGTGGCCGTGGAGGCCGTCCTGGGACGAACCGCATCCTTGCCGTGCGACATCGAGCCGGAGGCGAAGGACGATCGGGTGTACATGGTGCTGTGGTTCCGTGAGAGCGCCGGCAAGCCACTTTACAGGTAAGCAGGTGCCCCCGTGCGAGGCAGTCGAATTTGAATCCAGGCTAGCTAGCAGGCACCGGCTAATTTTATAGTCTCTTTGAGAGTTCAAGTATGTGAATGTGTGTCGGTGCGGTTGACAGAAGTTCCGCCCTTTTCGGGGCTGGCCAACTGAGGCTACCTTTTGATTTATAAGCCCCTCCAGAGGCAACTCTCTCCACTCCATCGAGCCGACAGCTTCATGAGAAATGGCAGCAGTTCATAATTTTCAAATAATTTATTATTTTAATAACATCATCAATATCAACTCGGTTCGGGTGGAGACTACAGTGAGCGAAAGTTTTTTTTAAGCTACTGAAAAACAACTTAAATGAAACAATGAATCTTTTTTTTATAAAAAATGTATGTATACGTTTGTCACGAAATCTTTGATGATTTTGCCATTCTGTTTGACAGCTTCCCTTAATAGAATATATGTACTTTTGTAACTCGTAGATTTAATTTTCTCCTAGTGTAGGTGCCGCATCAGCCTAGTCCTGGAACTCGGAGCCAGGACATGGCTCCAGGAGTGGGTCAAAGCAAAACAAAACAACGGCATGCCAGGCAGGCCAAACAGGGCGACATGGGCTCATATATTAGCCGCAGGGCCCCAGTCAAAGGACATCGGAGGTGAAAAGCGGGGGCAGCAAAATAATGGCATCCAAAGTGAAAACTGTTTTGGCGGCAACTTTGATTGTGGGTGAGGGAAGGAGGTGGAGCGCCATCCACACCCAACCCACACCCACACCCATGCTGATGTCCTCGAATCCACGCTGCTGTTATTTATAGAGCTCGCTGGCGAACGTGTGCTTAGGTTTAATATGTTGCACATTATAAGCAGACATCGATATCCTTTAGCCTTGTCAATTTTGCTTACATGTGCTTCCTTTTCAATATGTTGCCAGCGGGTGGACGGGGTTTTTCGGGAATAAGGACATAGACAACGACATGGGTATGGATATGGACACCAGTACGAATACGTATACGTATTCGTATATGTATATGTATACGTATACGAACGCACATGTATCTCAAGGGCGAGCGCGAACTGTTCACGAGTCCTGCCGCCCAGGACTCAGATCCTTGTTGATGTTGTTGCTCCTGCCGTTTCGTGCACTCAATTGGAAGCAATAAATTTCAGAGCAGACAAAGAGGAAGAGATGGGAAAAGGAGGTGAGTGCTTGGACCAACGAAAACAAGCGCAACGGCAAAAAAAAAAAAAAAAAACGGAAAACTAGAAAAATGTGGAAAACAATAATGTCGCAAAAATTTCCGACTTTATAACCAAAAATATCCGAAAGTGATTCGAATTCGATTTCCCTTCCAGGACAAGTCAGTGCACACAAAAAAAAAAAGAAAGGAAAGCAAGAAACAGGAATGAAATTTAAGGAAATAAATAACAGGAGCGAGGACAACAGCAACAGCAACAGCAACAGCTGCACAACTGACAGGCAGAAACCAAGGAAAGGCTCCGTTTGAGCCAGGACCTGTACTGCGGCGTAAAATTGCCAGCTCTGCGTGAAGTCGAAGGACACACAGAGGGGCAGCAAAAGCAGAATGGGTCTTAGAAAAGAATCAAAACCAAAAGCTAAAACCGAAAAGGCGCCGAAATTGAAAGCAGCATGTGAAGGGCGGCAAGAGTGGGTTGGGTTAAATAGGACACTGAACGGGATCCCCAAGGTTTTCCACGCTCAGAGAAAAATTTCCAATCGTTTGGGAAAGAAAAATAGAAAAACTCAGTTTTTATATCATATTGTCTTTATATTCTAAAAATTTTTTTCTTACATTAACTCTTCAATCATAAGTAAATAATTTAAAATATATGATTTTTGATGATGCTAACTTAAAGCTACAAAATTATTCGAAAAGCTTAAGGGAAAATGTTAAAAGAACTAGTTTTTAGTAATAACAAATTTCGAATGTTAGGGCTCTAAAACATTTTTTCAAGGGCCTTAAACATCCCTCTCATAGGCTTACAATTTTGATAGCAAGTTGGGCCCAACATTTTGACTCTGTGTTGTACATCCTTTTTGTGGGCCAGGCTTTGCAACATTTGCAAAGGCTCGTCACAGCTGGCAGTCTCACCTAAACAGGCTCGCACACACCTACGCCCACAAATACCCTGAGCAAAGACCTGTCTAGCAGCTCCCCTGCATTTGACAGCTTTACACCCAGATACAAAGGCAAAAGCCAAGGCCCCCGAACAAAACGATGTCCTGCCCAGGAGGCTAAAAGCAAAAATATTAAAAATTATAATGTTAACTTTTGCTTTGTTGTTCGACTGGCCGACAAGCAGACAGTTTTTTTCGGGTTTATGGCTCGAATGGCTGTCTGGCCGGGATTTGTTTCTGCTGACTTTGACCCTTGGAATGCGATTTTCATAAGATTTTCATACATTTATTTGTTATGAATCGTGGGCGATATAGGCCGAAGGTGCGGGAGGAGCGGGAGGAGGCGGGCGGCTTTGCCCTGCCATTATTAAAATTAACATTTGCCATGACAGCCACCTGTAACGAGGAGCGAGAGCCAAGCTCTGTGGGTCGACAGGCCAACTGTCACGTTCAATATTGCAGGCCATCAATGGCATTGGCAGTCCGCCACGCCCACCGCCCCCCGCCACCCGGAAAGCCTACATATTAAACAAAAGGCAAAAGGAAATGGCTACGAAAATCAAACAAGAGCGCTGCACTCGCCATTTCCCTAGCAACTGGGATTCACGCTGGGATCAACTGAAATTAAGCAATAAAAATATATAAACAGTAATTAAAATTAACTGCACTTGCACTTGCAGTTGATGAGCAACGCGGGTTGATATGTTAAAAAACAGCAAAGGTATATTTAAAATAGTTGTATATTATATGCTATTTAATTGTGGAATTATTTGGGTTTTTATTAAACTCTTAAAAGGAACTTAAAATCAGTAGTGGTTTGGGCATTTGCCTAAAATATAACAAGTTGTAAAAACATTAAATTGTTCCTGTTATTTGTAATTGTAATACTCGTCTTATCAGTAATTCAAAACTTAGTTTAATCAGATAAGCCTTAGACTCACTAAAAATAAGATTTCTTCATAAAGTATATGTCTTACGACCAAAAACATTAGGCACTAAAATGAATAAATTATATTTTCCCCATTTTATCGGATATACATATTTGGTTATTTCTAGATTAGGTTAATCGACGCACACAAACGCCGAGAAACAAATATACCCCCACTGCCTTGTGCAAACATGAAAGTTACAGTGGACTTTAAGCCGGGGCCACAATCAAGGTTAATTGATTTTTAAAGCTCACCTGGCCGCCCTTCTGCTGGGTGCCAGCTATCCGTAGGTTCCGTGGCATGAATAATTAAATTCGCAGCGAGCACTGGGTCGAATTGGATTGGTCTGCTCTACTCTGTTCTGTCCTGGGCTGCTCCTTCCTGCTCAGTTCAGGAGGTCTGGCTGTCAAAAGCGGATAATCTGAGTGGCACGCTAACTGCCATAATCGCCGGCAGCCGCCTGCCAAGAGCCCCATAAATACGGACTGAGCCGGGCGGCGAGCAAGTCCGGATGGAGGGGGCAATCGAAAGTGCATTCACTCCACTAAGGTTGAGCCGTGTGTGTATTTGGCTGGCTGCTTGAGCATCGGTCTGCCACAAAAGTAATAAACCACAAAACGGTATTCAAAATGGCTGGCAATAAGGGCCAACGCCGACGGATGTAAAGAGAGCCTGAAGATGGCAGAATCTCAGCCAGGAGTAGGATATCGCTACACTCTGAATAATCATGACTATCGATTTTACTAAATCTCGGAGGGTTAAGTCAATATGATAGATGAGATAATAAGTATTGCATCCTGAATTATGTTCGAGTATCTACCTACTAAAAATAGTTTAACTGTTAAAATATCTATTTTAAAAAAAATAGAGAATTCAAATAGTTGTCAGTGACAACAAAAGAGTTTTACTTGAAACCGTATTTAAAAAATTAGTAAACGTAATAAATATATAGTATAACTCAATATTTACTACTATTTTTTTAATAAATTCCCTGCTTAGGGTAAGCATTCAAGCTGATAAAACCTTTTCAAAACAAATCAAATAAAAAAGCATACAAAAATTTTGTTTGGAAGCTTAAATACAGAACCATACTTTGGTAGCTAAGAAATATTTATTTTAACCACAGCGAACCGAATAATTTTTCTGAGTGTGGAGAAGAGGACAGCCAAAAGTCGTGGCCCAAAGGCAATTAAGTCGAGTGCATTTTCGGGCCATTTTACGAGCGGTGGGGCGGCTCTGTAGTCGCACTTGCGCGAATTTCAGGTTAGATGGGATATTTAAAACTGTAATTAAGTTTCAAATGTATATGCAATCGTGTGGATGTACGTGGGCGGGTGTGCGGGTGTGCAGGTGTGCGGGTGTGCGGGTGTGCGTGTGTGGGAGCGGAAATGCATGCGGAGCATGCAAATCGATTTGGGCGCCACTAAGCTCTGGTTTCCACCGCCGACAGAGAAATGCCAACGTCGGGATTTTCTTTGTCGGCTCACCACTTGGTCACAGTCGGAAATGGTGGTCCAATCCTTCCACTGATTGCGCATTCGAAGGCGAGCGGCCAATTACCAAACTTCTCTCCATCGTCGTGATTAACTTTTAATGACTTCGATTTCGGTAATTGGACGGAAGGAATTTGCCGTAATTGGAAAATTCTGGGAATTTAACATCATTGTATATTTGAACAGTCTGTTCTTGTTTTAAGTTCCCACAATAAAGTATTTATAGTCATTTTAATGGACCGGAAAGTAAGCATCTGAATTCAATTGAATTGTTATCAAAACCGCTTTTGCTTAAATACCCCTAATTTTATACTGACAAAAATTGTAAATTTAATATTTGTAATAGGAAATATATGTACCTTTCAGGTTGTTTCCAAGATATTTTTATATCTTTTCCTAGCTAAAGCAAAGACTTTTGATATGCTAATGAACTATTTGTATTTAAAGTA